CCAACTCTCCTGTTGGTATGCCTAGATAAGGCCTTATCCAATTTATGTCTCCTAATAACTTTTGAAAGTCGTTAAGTGATTTGAGTTGATCTACTCGTATTTTAATTTTTGGCGGATGGACCATGGTTGAGGATAATAGAACTCCTAAATAATTAATTGGAAAATTTAATTGTACTTTATCTATTGCTATCTCTAGATTATGATTTTTAATAAATTTGTAAGTGTGGCATAACATTTTAGCAATGTGTTTTTATCTTTGTGTGCTAACAATACATCATCCATATAGTGAAATATTTGTAGTTCAGGATTTTGATTTCTAGGTGGCTGGATTGCTTTGTTAACATAAATTTGACACATAGTTGGGCTGTTAGCCATCCCTTGAGGGAGTACTTTCCATTCATATCTCTGATCAGGACCTTCATGATTCAGTGCAGGGATAGTAAATGCAGAACGTGGACTATCCTCAGGATGAATTGGAATTGAAAAAAAACAATCTTTAATATCTATAGCTAAAACGTACCAGGTTTTTGGCAAAGCAGACAATTGAGGAATCCCCGATTGAGCAGGTCCCATAATAACCATCTCATTATTAATGGCTCTTAAATCTTGCAATAATCTCCATTTACCAGATTTCTTTTTAATGACAAAAATGGGAGTATTATAGGGAGATACGGAAGGTTGTATATGTCCCTCCGCTAATTGTTGTTTGACCAGGTCATGGGCTGCTTGTATCTTTTCTTTAGTCAGGGGCCACTGAGGAACCCATACTGGTCTATCTGATTTCCAAGTAATTTTTATTGCCTCAGTGACCCCTTCTGAAAACCCAGTGCATGTCTATTTATTCCTTGATCTATTTGAATTGGTGCTGCTATACCTTGTTCTCCTAATATTTTTTCTTTCCTGAAACCTTGTCTAGCCCTAATAGTGGGCGCATTTGGATTGATGTTATTTGTTAATGTCAAACCTAATTGATCTAGGACATCTCGTCCCCATAAATTTATAGGAAGATGATCCAATACATAGGGCTGTATAGTTCCTTCACATCCTTCAGGATCCTTCCAATCTAATACCATTGCACTTCTATGGGGATTAGTTGCCACTCCTAGGCCTCGAAGCGTTTGAGTGGCTTGTTGTAACGGCCAGTATTTTGGCCATTCTTGACGAGAGATGATGCTAAGGTCTGCACCTGTATCCAGTAGCCCATTAAATTCATGTCCTTGAATATTTAGTTTTAGCATGGGGCAAGAATCTAAATTTAAAGAAAGCATACCCCAATCTACACCTATGGAGCCTAATCCCCTGGAACCTCTTTCTATACTACTACTGGAAAATTTATCATGTAGGCTGGGTATTATTAATAACTGTGCTATTCTATCTCCTAGTGAAATTACTGATATACCCTTTGGAGAACTAGCTATAATTTTTATTTCACCTTCATAATCGAGATCAATTACCCCGGGACTTATCATAAGTCCTTTTAGAGTAGAAGAACTGCGTCCTAACAATAAGCCTACTGTTCCTTGGGGAAGAGGTCCTTTTACTCCTGTGGGAATGATTTGAACTCCCATCTCTGGAGTTAGTACTGCTCTGGCGGACGCGCAGATGTCCAGCCCTGCGCTCCTTCTGGTTCGTCTGATGAGAGATCTGATGGATAATGTGTCCTGGGCACTACCATGATGGTGTTGCTGGGTTCCTCCATGGTGTTTCTGGGTTCCTCCAGTGCCCCGTATATTTGTGGTCGTGGGCCCCAGAGCATTGGGCCCCCCTGTCCGTTTTTTGGCAATGGAGCCCGATGCCTTTCTCCATGATATCGTGGGTAAACACCTGGTCCTTGTCCGTTTTTTGATAATGGAGTACCCTCTATGGTGGTTTGAGAACAGCATTCATTAGCCCAATGTCTCCCTCTACGGCATCGTGGGCAAATACCCGCTATTGTACTCCTTTGATATCTAGCTTTGTTAAACCCTCCTCCTATGGGGCAATTCCTTTTAAAATGTCCTGTTTGTTCACAATTGTAGCATGTTTTTGGCCTGGCATCTAAAGCCTGTTGTACTGCAGCTGCCAAGACTTTCCCTTGTTCATTAATGTCTCTACATAATTTAATATATGTGTTTAAATCTCCATGTTTCCATGGTCTAATGGCCTCTCTGCACCAATGATTTGCTTGCTCATAAGCCAGTTGTTTAATTAATGGCATTGCTTGTTCTGTATCCCCAAAAACTCTGGTAGCTGTTTGAATAAGCCTATCTACAAATTCAGCGTAAAGTTCATTAGCTCCCTGTATTACCTTAGATAATTGACCTTGTAAATCTCCATGTCCTTGTAAAGTTTTCCACGCCCTAACTGCATCTGCAGCAATTTGTGCATATATAGCAGGATCATATTCAATTTGTTGCCGTTGATCCTCATAAGGTCCTCTTCCTAACAACATATCTAGATTTCTTTGAGGGTAACTGGCTGCTGCATTTCGCCTAGCCGTCTCCATGCAAAATTCCTCATTGGCCACCTTCCAAACAAATATTGTCCTCCATTTAGCACAGATTTACACATGCTAGCCCAATCTGCTGGCGTCATATCCAAGTTGGTAATGGATTCGACCATGCTTATACTGAAGGGTGCTTGAGGTCCATAGGTTGTTACAGCCTCCTTTAACTGCTTCACTGTTTTGAAATCTAAAGCATGGTGAATTTGCTGCCCTCCTGCCTGCTCAAGTACAGGGCATGCTAATCTTTGAGGTCCTGTCTCAGGATCCCATCTATCAACTATGGGGGTTGAGGGCCACTCAGCTGTCTCCATAGGTGGAGCTGTTGGTTGAATTATGCCCTCTGGTGATAGAACAGTGTTAGTAGCAGCCTCCTGTTGTAGCTTTTTCCCTAATAGCTGTTTCTCCTCTAAGCTTTCTTCCTTTAAATTTTCTTCCTCTGTCTGACTAGCTCGAGAGACCTTCTCTTTTGCTTGATCTAAAATGTTTTTCTCCATGGTCTGAACCTCTAACAATTTACTTAACACTCTTTCAGTTTGTTTTTTACTAATTTCTAATCTATTATAAAGATAACGCAACCCAATAACACAAAACAAAACCGAAACAGAATGAAACAAAAACGGAACAAAAAATCGTTGTATCAATTTTCTTGTTTTCTTGACATGTGCATTTGTGGTCTATTTCTATCTCTTCCTCAGGGGCGAACAACTTCAAACCTTGAGCCAACCATTTTTCCCAGTTTGCCTGAGAAAGTTCTAGGGATAGGCAGCTTGAAACAAAACAAAACAAATCAAAATAAGAACACATTGTTTTTTTAAAATGGTCAACCATTCTCTCGCATTTCCTTAGGGGCGAGCAATTTCACTTACCCCCAAGCTTCAGGTGTTCCCCGCACAGGCCGCCAAATGCCGCAGTCTGGCTGGGCACAAATCACGAGCCACTGAAGCAGGAACAAACTTTATTTTTGAACTCCACCAGCAACTCCTCCCAAACGCCACACGGCTCGTCCAGGAACCACCCACCGGAAATATCTCCTCTGGAAATCCCTCCTCCTGCACTTCCCCAACCAATGGGAACTCTCGGGGAATCCCCGGGAATCCCCACGAGAACTCCAAAGTAGCACGAGAACTCAAAAGTAGCAGCCGAGGCGGATAGTAATGCCTCGCCTGTCAACCAATACTGTTGGCAAAATGCCAGGGGCCATACCAACTCAGTTGTGGCTCTCAGCAGCTTACAGTAATGTACTATGTTAAGTGAATAAGAAAAATCTATTACTAATGTAGAGATAAGATCAGAGTCTGTAAACTCAAGCAATTGTAAGAAAATGCCACACTGATAAGACCTAAAATCATTTTGATCATGTTTCATTCTTGAAATAATGTCACAAAAGTCGTTTTGATGTAATATATAGTTAGTTCCTCTCACCACCCCCATATCAATCCATCACCAATCTGTGCCAGCCCCATCTGCAAAGTAGAACCTCTTCTCACCACTGTGACCGCTACTACAAGTCACCATCATCTTTTGCCTGGGTGACTGTAATGGCCATCTTCTCATTTTCCAAGTTTATACTCTTGCCTACTATAGAAAAGCCAAAGAGAATTTTAAAAAGAATATCACATCTCCATCATACTTAAAATCCTGTGATAATTTCACATTGTCATTAGAACGAAACTGAAGTTTTTTTCCAAAGCCTTTAGGACCTGGATGGCTTTCTAGCCTCATCTCCTACACTCTCCCCTTGTTCACTGCACTCACACTCAATTACATGGGCCTGTATTATAGCCCTCATTTAATGCCAAATTCATTTCATCCTCAGGATTTGCTGTTGTTTCCTATGTTTGTAATGTTCTTCCCACAGATCTCCTCCATGACTGACACCTTTACTTCATACGCTTCTCAGAGTTGTCAGTGCATATGTTATCTCCTTAGATACCCTCACCATCCTGTCCAAAATATTCTGCCCACTTACCACACACCTTCAATGGCATCATTCTATATATCATTACTCTGTTCTATTTCCTCATAGAATGTGCTGTAATTTGAAAATATTTATTTGTCCACATTTTTGGGGGTCCCTTCTCACGACAAAGTACAGGACTCATTCATGTGTTTTACTCATACTTGTATCCCCAGAATCTGGCATATAGAGATATTCAACAATTATTAAATAAGTAAAAAATCGAATGGATAAATGAGTGGGAAGACACAAAAGGCAGTTTGTAACAATACGTAATGTCATCTAAGCTGTGACAGAGATAACCAGCCAAGGAAATGGAACATGAAGATAAATAGCTAGTTGCTGGATACTTTTTATATACCTTGATCTCAGGTAAGATTACATTTTTATCATCCAGATCTTGAATAATTAGTTAAGCACCTTTTATATAAGAAATCTCATTTTTAAATATATAATGCAACCAAGTTTTATAAATATTTGCAACGATGGAGTATTTTATTTTATTTTTTATTTTTTTTAACATGTCCAAATAATCCTTATTCCTTTTTTAATAGCCTCTTACACTTTGTTGCCAGATGCCTTCAGAGCAGGTGCTTTCTGGGCTGGAGCTTTCTGACTCTTCTGAGCTTTTGGAGGCGGTGCTGCCTTCTGGCCTGAGGCTTTCTGGGAAGGAGCCTTTTGGGCCGGAGCCTTCTTGCCTGCTGGAGTTACCTTTTTTGCTGGAATTTTAGCTTTAGCAGCAGCTGCTGCTGTTGCTGCAGCTGCAACTGCAGCCTTAGCAACAGGTGTCTTTTGGGGAGAAGCTTTCAGGATAGCTGCCCTCTGAAGCTTCTTAACTTCATTCTTGATTATTCTGTTCCTCATTTTCTTCACCTTCATTACTTTATAATGATCAAAATCAGTCATCTTGGCTTTCCTTTTTCTGGCTTCAATCTTCTTGGCCCATCTTGTGGCTGCCCATTTTGTATTTTTTTTTTTTTTTTTTTTTTTTTTTAAATATTTATTTATTTATTTTAGTTCTCGGCAGACACAACATCTTTGTTTGTATGTGGTGCTGAGGATCGAACCCGGGCCGCACGCATGCCAGGCGAGCGTGCTACCGCTTGAGCCACATCCCCAGCCCGCCCATTTTGTATTGATATCTGCCTTCTGCCAGGCTTGCCGAACATACTTCTGGCAAGCACTGTGAGGAAACTTGAGGATGAAATCAATGAGCTGCATACATTTGAAAGGCATGGCCTATCTCCTTACCTTAGTGCAAGGTCCATCAACCAAAGCCCTGTTCTGATCAATATCATCTACAGTTGCAACCAGCTTTCCAGCATAAGGCCCAAAGGAGACGTAGGCCATTTGGCCTACCTCCACAAAATGCCTGAAAACCATGTTGGAGGCATAGGACGAGAAAGGAGTATTTTATTTTAATCCAACTTAAAATTACAATGTCTATTAAAAATGTCCAAATAAACAACTTACATCACAAAGATATATCAATTTTTGGCCTTTATGTTTTTAATACATTGTAAACTCAGTAAAATGAAGCAATGGCAAGAATATCTGCTATAAATCTGTTGTGTAACTTGGTATAAGATAAAACTACTAAATATGAGTTTACCTAAGTAGAGCTCAAAAAAAGCAGCCAATGGTTCCCAGAAAAAAATTCAACTATATAAACAAGTGAGCAAGCAAAGACAAAGAGAACATTGGGACTGGTCCATGGAAAAGGTTAGGAGTGAAAATTTTCCATTAAGCCTGTGGTTCTCAGATGACAGTGGAGCTTGTATAATTTACATAAAGAACGTTCTAAAAAATAAATCATAGTTCATTTCGATACAATGTTATTTAAGTGTGGCTTATAATACAATTGATCATGACATCTCTATTTTCCCCGCCTTTGGGCAGTACTGGTGATGGAACCCAGGGCCTTGCACATGCTAGGCAAGTACTCTACCACTGAGTCAAACCATCAGCTCTGGATGATACTCCTAAACCTAAGAATCAATATTAAATAGAATAATCATATGTCATATAAACTCTCAGTTCAATAACCTCTTCCTTTAAATAAAACGTTTAACACTTTTCCTAATAATTCCAACTTCTTCTTAAATTAACTAAAATATATATTCCTTAATTCCTGTCCTGCCTTTTGTACCTTTCCTTGACATACAAGAAATCTCATTTTCTACTTCTTTCCATTTCCCAGCTTGTGTTTCCTCCAAATTCAAACTCACTTGTCATTTTTCACCTCCTTTTTAAACATACAAAGCATTCTTCACAAAAACCGTAACAAATGTATAGTTAGAACTATCTGTATCTTTGAAATGCTATGTTGTTAAATGATGTTTTAGACTTTGCTAATGGCAGAACAATTACATTCATAATTTTGTGAAATACTCTGAGCTACCTGAAAATTAATAGGTAAACTTTAAATATATTATCAAAATGCATGGTGTATAATGATCTTTATATCTTCCTTTGTTTTTTAGTCAGGTTTATTGAGTCATCATTTGTGTACAGTAAAATTTACCCCTTTTAAAAAGACATACTTCTGTGAATTTTGACAAAGGTTTATATAATCCCACTGTAACCAAGATACAGAACATTGCTGGGCACAGTGGCACATGCATGCCTGTAATCCCAGCAACTCAGAAGCCTGAGGAAGGAGGATTGTTAGTTAGAGGCCAGCCTCAATAGCTTAGCAAGACCCTTAGCAATTTAGCAAGAACTTGTCTCAAAAAATAAAAAGGATAGGTGATGTGGCTCAATGGTAAGGAACCCCTGGGTTCAATTTCCATTACCAAAAAAAAAAAAAGATACAGAACATTTCTGTCATTCCAAAGTTTCGCTATCCTTCTTTATAATTAATCACCTTCCCCCTATCCCTGATTTGTTTTCTGCCCCTACAGTTTGGCCTTTTGATAATACTTTTGAAATTCATTTGTGTTGTTACATGCTTCAGCTGTCCATTCCTTTTTGTTCCTGTGTAGTAGCATATTATATGACTACTGTAATTTGTTTATTCCTTTATATTTTTTATACTGAGTTTTGAGGAATTATATCTAGACATATGGTTTCTTTATAGAAGACACTGGGGTTTAATAAATGAATATTTATTGAGCCTTCACTGGGTGCCTGTGGGTTCTAAGGGTGAATAAGATGTGATGGGAAAATAACAGCAGGTGGGAGAACAGAGTGTATGACCTTTTTGTTGTTTGTTTTTATAAATTGTAGAAAGAAAGTTTTAGACTGAAAACTCCTTGAAACATAAACACATATAATACTTCTGTCTTATTTTTTAATTCTCTTAACACGCTATCATGTGTGTTCAACTTTATTGATTATAATATTTAGAACTAAAATTTTAATGCAGTAATTAATAATTCAAGTCTTAGACCCAGAGTAACATGGATTTCATCTTTATGTTAACTGCTTCTTAGTGTTGTAGATATTTGTAGTCTTGCCTTTGCAATACAGCAATTTGTATTCTGTGAAATGCTACTTCAGACTGTATGATCCCACAGAAGCTGCCATCCTTTAGGCACTGACTTCTTGAATCCTGGACCCTCTTGTTTTTCTACTTAGTTTCTTCTGTCTCTCCTCACCAATGAAGGGTCTGGTGATTAAATTTTCTGGTGAAAATTTAATCACCAGACCCTTCATTCTCCATTTTATGACTGATTGAGTTATTTATTTTACTAATAACTAAATTTTTATTAACAAATGTAGTAGTGGTGTTCAATGTGATATTCCATACATTTATACAACTTGCACTGAACAAATCTAACCACCCTTTTCCTACCCATCCCATCTCCTACACACTTCCCATAGTAATCACTAAATCACTAGTTTACTTTCTGTTCAGCTTTTTTTTTTTAATATTTCTAAAAATGAGAGAGAATATTTGATGTTTGTCTTCATGTCTCGGGCTTATTTTACTTAATATAATGTCCACCCATTTTGCTGCAAATGACAGGATTTCATTCTTCTTTATGGCTGAGTAATACTCCATTGGGTATATATGTCAATTTTCGTTTTTTCATTCATCTGTTGATGGGCACCTTGTCTGATTCCATATCTTAACCTTTGTGAACAGAGCTACAATAAATATGGGCAGTTATCTTTTGGATAGGCTGATTTCATTTCTTTTGGATAAAAAACCAGAAGTGGGATAGTGCCTTTCATATTGTAGGTCCATTGTTAGTCTTTTGAGGAACCTTGTTTTCCCTGTTAAAGATGTTATGCCCAGGCTCCTGTTGCTTTGTTGCTTCTTTTCAGTGTTGTAACATTTTTTCAGTGAGCAACAACCACATCTTTATCTTATTTTTTTCCCCTTATTTTCACACCTAACCTCTTACATTATGCCCCCTAGTGAACCACATTTCCCAATGTTCATATACTTGTACAGTATGTGCAGTATATTTTTTTTAAGTCTGGGCTAGGCCTGAGATTTGCTTCAGCCAGTACCATGTACCACAAGTGACGCAGGCCATTCTAGGTCACAACTTTAAGGAGGCCTCACAGGTTACATTTTTCTTTTTTTTTTTTCTTTAATTTTTATTGTTGGTTGTTCAAAACATTACATAGTTCTTGACATATCATATTTCACACTTTGATTCAAGTGGGTTATGAACTGCCATTTTTACCCCGTATACAGATTGCAGCATCACATCGGTTACACATCCATTGTTTTACATATTGCTATACTAGTGTCTGTTGTATTCTGCTGCCTTTCCTATCCTCTACTATCCCCAATCCCCTCCCCTCCCATCTTCTCTTTCTACCCCATCTACTGTAATTCATTTCTCCCCCTTGTTTTTTTTTTCTTCTCCCCTTTCCCCTCACTTCCTATTGTATGTAATTTTGTATAACCATGAGGGTCTCCTTCCATTTCCATGCAATTTCCCTTCTCTTTCCTTCTCCCTCCCACCTCTCACCCCTGTTTAATGTTAATCTTCTTCTCATGCTCTTCCTCCCAACTCTGTTCTTAGTTACTCTCCTTATATCAAAGAAAACATTTGGCATTCGTTTTTTAGGGACTGACTAGTTTCACTTAGCATAATCTGCTCTAATGCCATCCATTTCCCTGCAAATTCTATGATTTTGTCATTTTTTAATGCAGAGTAATACTCCATTGTGTATAGATGCCACATTTTTTTTATCCATTCATCCATTGAAGGGCATCTAGGTTGGTTCCACAGTCTTGCTATTGTGAATTGTGCTGCTATGAACATCAATGTAGCAGTGTCCCTGTAGCATGCTCTTTTTAGGTCTTTAGGGAATAGACCGAGAAGGGGAATAGCTGGGTCAAATGGTGGCTCCATTCCCAGCTTTCCAAGAAATCTCCATACTGCTTTCCAAATTGGCTGCACCAATTTGCAGTCCCACCAGCAATGTCCAAGTGTACCCTTTTCCCCACAACCTCGCCAGCACTTGTTGTTGTTTGACTTCATAATGGCTGCCAATCTTACTGGAGTGAGATGGTATCTTAGGGTGGTTTTGATTTGCATTTCTCTGACTGCTAGAGATGGTGAGCATTTTTTCATGTACTTGTTGATTGACTGTATGTCCTCCTCTGAGAAGTGTCTGTTCAGGTCCTTGGCCCATGTGTTGATTGGGTTATTTGTTTTCTTATTGTTTAATTTTTTGAGTTCTTTGTATACTCTGGATATTACGGCTCTATCTGAAGTGTGAGGAGTAAAGATTTGTTCCCAGGATGTAGGCTCCCTATTTACCTCTCTTATTGTTTCTTTTGCTGAGAAAAAACTTTTGAGTTTGAGTAAGTCCCATTTGTTGATTCTAGTTATTAACTTTTGTGCTATGGGTGTCCTATTGAGGAATTTGGAGCCCGACCCCACAGTATGTAGATCGTAGCCAACTTTTTCTTCTATCAGACGGCGTGTCTCTGATTTGATATCAAGCTCCTTGATCCATTTTGAATTAACTTTTGTGCATGGCGAGAGAAAGGGATTC